CCCCAGCACGACCACGCCCCACACGACACCCCCCCACACGACCCACCCAGCAAGACCACACCCCAGCACGACCACACCCAGTCGCACCCCCGTGGAATGTTTCGTGGGGTGTCTCGTGGAATGTTTCGTGGGGTGTCTCGTGGAATGTTTCGTGGGGTGTCTCGTGGAATGTTTCGCGGGGTGTCTCGTGGAACGTTTCGCGAGGTGTCTCGTGGAATGTTTCGCGAGGTGTCTCGTGGGATGTTTCGCGGGGTGTCTCGTGGGATGTTTTGTGAGGTGTCGCCCAGTTGGGTATCGTGAAAACGTGACCATGCTGCGCATGTCTATATCCCTTTCCGGGTTCGTGGGTCCATCATGTTCATTATTTGCTGAGGATGTCTCGACTAATTCGCTTGTTTTGCCAGGAATTCTTTGGATTTTGACAGGATGGCTCGAGCGAAACGCTTGGTTTTCAGAATTTGTTGAGGATGTCTCGAGCGAAACGCTGGTTTTGCAAAATTGGGGGGATGTCTCGAGCGGGTGTCTCGTGGGGTGCCAGAATTGAGAGGATGTCTCAGGCGAAATGCTTGCTTTCACGTCCCGCTCGCAGGAATTCAGAGGATGTCTCGCGCGTGCCGCGTCCCGCGCGCATGAATTTTGAGGATGTCTCGACAAATTTGTTTGTTTGGCGAGGATTTCTTTGGATGTTGACAGGATGTCTCGAGCGAAACGCTTGTTTTTCATAATTTGTTGAGGATGTCTCGAGCGAAACGCTGGCTTTGCAAAATTGGGGGGATGTCTCGAGCGGTGGTCTCGTGGGGTGCCAGAATTCAGAGGATGTCTCAGGCGAAATGCGTGTTTTCACGTCGCGTGGCGCGTCCCCTGGCACATCCCGTGGCACATCCATTGGCACGTTCCGTAGCGCGTCCCCTTGGCACGTCCCGCGGTGCGTCCCCATGGCACGTCCCCTGGCATGTCGCCTGGCGCATCCCTTGGGACGTTTCGCGGCGCGTCCTCCTGGCATGTCCCCCTGTCAATTAGCTCTGGGGCAGCTACTATGTGTTCAGGCAGCTCGAGCTTAAGATCCAGATCAGTTCGGTCAGGACTCGGATGCAAAGGAGGACTCGATCCACGAGGCTATAGAGCACAATCGCGCCATGGCACATCGCAATTCAGCACGGCGCAGCACAGCACAGCCCTCGGCACGGTACATCAAGATCGATACACTCAGCATTGCAATTTGGCACGTTCCTTGGCACGTTCCGTGGGGCGTCCCTTGGCGAGTCCCCCTGGCACGTCGCGTGGCGCGTCCCCTGGCACATCCCGTGGCACATCCATTGGCACGTTCCGTAGCGCGTCCCTTTGGCACGTCCTACGGTGCGACCCCATGGCACGTCCCCTGGCACGTCGCCTGGCGCGTCCCTTGGGACGTTCCGCGGCGCGTCCTCCTGGCATGTCCCCCTGTCAATTAGCTCTGGGGCAGCTACTATGTGTTCAGGCAGCTCGAGCTTCAGATCCAGATCAGTTCGGTCAGGACTCGGATGCAAAGGAAGACTCGATCCACGACGCTATAGAGCACAACCGCGGCATGGCACATCGCAATTCAGCACGGTGCAGCACAGCACAGCCCTCGGCACGGTACATCAAGATCGTTACAATCAGCATTGCACTTGCCCGTCACCCAATCAGGTGTCTTTAAAAACGTTGCCATGCGTTACGTTTCTATATTCCTTTCCGGGTTCGTGGGTCGATCATGTTTTTTTCAGAATTTGTTGAGGATGTCTCGAGCGAAACGCTGGTTTTGCAAAATTGGGGGGATGTCTCGAGCGGGGGTCTCGTGGGGTGCCAGAATTCAGAGGACGTCTCAGGCGAAATGTTTGTTTTCACGTCCCGCTCGTAGGAATTCCGAGGATGTCTCGCGCGTGCCGCGTCCCGCGCGCAGGAATGTTGAGGATGTCTCGACAACTTTGTTTGGTTGGCGAGGATTTCTTGTGATTTAGTCAGGATTTCTTGAGCGAAACGCTTGTTTTTCATAATTTGTTGAGGATGTCTCGAGCGAAACGCTGGCTTTGCAAAATTGGGGGGATGTCTCGAGCGGGGGTCTCGTGGGGTGCCAGAATTCAGAGGATGTCTCAGGCGAAATGCTTGTTTTCACGTCCCGCTCGCAGGAATTCAGAGGATTCACGTCACGCTCGCTTGGCACGTTCCGTGGGGCGTCCCTTGGCGAGTCCCCCTGGCACGTCGCGTGGCGCGTCCCCTGGCACATCCCGTGGCACATCCATTGGCACGTTCCGTAGCGCGTCCCCTTGGCACGTCCCGCGGTGCGACCCCATGGCACGTCCCTTGGCACGTCGCTTGGCGCATCCCTTGGGACGTTCCGCGTCGCGTCCTCCTGGCATGGTCCCCTTTCCATTAGCTCTGGGGCAGCTACTATGTGTTCAGGCAGCTCGAGCTTCAGATCCAGATCAGTTCGGTCAGGACTCGGATGCAAAGGAGGACTCGATCCACGAGGCTATAGAGCACAATCGCGCCATGGCGCATCGCAATTCAGCACGGCGCAGCACAGCACAGCCCTCGGCACGGTACATCAAGATCGATACACTCAGCATTGCATTTGCCCGTCACCCATTCAGGTGTCTTTGAAAACGCTGCCATGCGTTACAGTTCTATATTCCTTTCCGGGTTCGTGGGTCGATCGTGTTTAGTTTGCACGCGTTTCATGGACGGAGGGCGGGCCGTTTTCAAAACATGGTTCTGGCCTCAGCGTTGCGCGCATTCGTCTTGAACTCTTGCAGCAGTTTCTCGGACGGAGGGCGTTTCCTTTAAAACATGCTGGTCTCGCCTTTGCGCCGCGCGCAGTCGTTCAAAGCGAACTGCAAGAGCTTTGCGGATGGAGGGCGGGCGTTTTGCAGTATGTGGTTGTCGCGTGAGCGCCGCGCATATTTGTTTTCACAGCAGTTCCAAGGACTTTCATGGTTGACGTATCAGGAAGAGTGTGTGGGCACGATGTAGGACTGTCAGGGCGCAATAGTCACGTTGATTCGCGGCGTTGAAGTGCCAGGAATAGTGTTTTGGCATGATTCAGGATCGACCGGACGCAACAGTAATTCTTCACGCTTCGCGTATCCCCACCAGCCCATCTCAAAACAGCAACTCTTGGCGAAGCATGCCGACAGTCGTGTTTTTCAGGCGTGTTTCCGCCTGCCCCCGCATATCTCCCCTGTTCCTCCTTCCTCCCGCCTCCTTGTACATCCTCCTTGTGGTGGGAGCGGGAGAAGGACGAGGCGGAGGAGGAGGGAGAGAAAGCGCTCCTCGTGGTTTGAGTCGTTTGGGGTTTCTCGTCCTGGTGTGAGTCGTTCGGGCCCTTCTTCCTGGTGTGAGTCGTTCGGGCTCTTCGTGGTGTGAGTCGTTCGGGCTCTTCGTCCTGGTGTGAGTCGTTCGGGCTTCTCGTGGTGTGAGTTGTTCGGGCCCCTCGTCCTGGTGTGAGTCGTTCGGGCCCCTCCTCCTGGTGTGACTCGTTCGGGCTCCTCGTGGTGTGAGTCGTTCGGGGCCCTCGTCGTGGTGTGAGTCGTTCGGGCTCCTCGTGGTGTGAGTCGTTCGGGCGCCTCGTCCTGGTGTGAGTCGTTCGGGCCCCTCCTTCTGGTGTGAGTCGTTCGGGCTCTTCGTGGTGTGAGTCGTTCGGGCCCCTCGTCCTGGTGTGAGTCGTTCGGGCTCCTCGTGGCGTGAGGCGTTCGGGCACCTCGTCCCTTTTGGGGCGTCTTGGGGGCCTCTTGGCGGCCCCAGGGGCTTCTAGGAGCGTCTTGGGTGCCTTGGGGGAGCCTCTTCGGGCCTCTTGGGAGCCTCTTGGAGGCCGTTTGGGGCGTCTTGGGGGCCTCTTGGCGGCCCCAGGGGCTTCCAGGAGCGTCTTGGGTGCCTCGGGGGAGCCTCTTGGGGCCTCTTGGGGGCCTCTTGGGGGCATCTTGGGGGCGTCTTGGAGGCCTCTTGGGGGCCTCCTGGGGGCCTCTTGGGGCCATCTTGGGGCCTCTTGGTGCCTCCTGGGCGCTTCTCGATCAAAGAAGAGGGGAGCTTCAATTAGCGCTGCCCCCTCAGAAGGGCAAAATGGGCCCCAACCTTCGTAAAATCGATGATTTTGCTTTGAAAGAAGAGGGGAGCTTTAATGAGCGCTGCCCCCTCAGAAGGCCAACATGGGGCCAAAACCGTCGTAAAATCAATGGTTTTGGCTTCAAAGAAGAGGAGAGCATTTTTTCTCCCTCCCCCCGTCGGGGCCAGAATCCTCGTGAGGGGTGTCGTTTTTGGCATGATTCAGGATCGACCCGACGCAACAGTAACTCTGTTTTGCGGCGTTGAATTCCCAGGAATGGTGTTTTGACACACTTCAGGATTTTCAGACGCTTGTCTTCAGCGGGGTACTTTCCTCAGAGGAAAGGGCTTTTGCAGGGGCCTATGGGAGGGAACTTGGAGGGAGGTTTATTGCAACATCATTGGTGAGACTTCGGTTTACACTGGTCCTCCTCCTGCTCCTCCTTCTCCTCCTCCTCCTCCTCCTCCTCCTCCTCCTCCTCCTCCTCCCTCTTCGTCGTTCAAATGTAGTCCATAACCGTGGCTTCGCTACTCGGTCGATCCTTACTCCTCCTCCTCCTCGTCCTCCTCCTCCTCCTTCTCCTCATCTTCCCCCTGTTCCCCCCCGTCGCGCCCCCTTCCTTCCTCCTCCCTCCCTCCCGAGTTTCTGCACTGCAGCAGAATGTGTCTTTCAGTGTTTGCACGGCAGTCGTAGCACGTGTGGACGAGCGCGGATCATTCCCATGCCGAAGCTGGGAGAGCGAGCTTCCCTCCCCTGTCTCCCTCCTCCCCTCCTCCCCGATTCCACTCCCCTATCCTTCCTACCTCCCTTCCTCCCTCCCTCCTCTCCCTCCTCCTCCCTCCCTCCCTCCCTCCCTCCCTTCCTCTCTCCCTCCCTCCCTCCCTCCTGCTCCCTCCCTCTCCCCTCCTGTTCCCGTGCGCCCTCCCTCCCTCCCCCCTCCGGAGGCGACCTGCCTCAAAGGGAGGGAGCTGCGGTGGCAGCCCTGGCCCGATGTCTCCAAGTTCAACGAGGAGCGGCCAGCCCCCCTCTGGAGGTTCGGGCCAGGTGGGTCGGAACGGCCAGGGGTGTCCAAACGGCGCGGTGGTGGACAGAACCCTCACCCTGACACGTCGATTAGTGAATTGTCCGTTTGCGGTTCTCGAGAGGGCGCCGCGGCCGTCCTTTTGCAGTCTTGCGCCCGCCAGGTTTGGGCCCGAGGTCGTTTTCACTAAAAACCACGCTTTACTAAAGGGGGTTCTGCCCATCCCCGAGCCAGGTGCGTGGGAAGGGCCAAGGGTGTCAAAACGGCGCGGTGACCACACCTCAGTGGTGAGTCGGTGGGGATTCGGGATGACCGTACGGTTTTGGGATCTATGGGGTTTGGGGATGCTTGCGTAGGGTCGTGGAGGCAGGCTTTCCTGCCTCAGGGTGTGTTCCAGCAGTTGCGCCTCGCCAGGAGCGTTCCTGGGGTGCCCAGGTCGTCCCGAAAGGGCCGTTGGAGACGTGTGTTGTGGCTGAGAAACCACACATTCTGAGGAGGGCTGGTGTGGCGTGAGTCAGGGGTGATTCGGGGTGACTGCGCGGTCTGGGGACTTCGGTTGCTCTCCGAGGATGTCTCGGGCTGCTGGGTCCTCCAGGGTCCCAAAACCGTGCGGTGACGGACCGTGCGGCGAGGTCCTTCTTGCGGATCCCGAGGTCGCTGCATGGTTTTTGGACCCCCTCATGAAAGGGAGGGGGGGCGATTACAGAAGGGAGGGGTGCGGCATCTGCTGCTTGCAGCTGGTTTCAGCTCCGCCGCCAGGCCCTTGCCTCGACACATGGTCGCTCCCGTCGCCGGTGTGCGCTGGGGAAGCCGGTTGCAAGCAGCAGGTTCGCTCTTCCCTCTGTGCTATCCCGCTCTTCGTCCGACCCAGGGAGCGAGGAGAGGAGTGGGTCGAGGATCCAGGTTTTTCCCCGAAAGGCCATAGCCCCAGGGTTCTCTTTTAGTTGGTTTACCCCGGGTTTTGACTTGAAGGGGGCCGGCGGAATTATTTGCGATGAATAACGAGGTCAAAGAGGGCCGGCGGAAGTATGTTTGAGGATGTCTCGAGCGAAACGCTTGTTTTTCAGAATTTGTTGAGGATTTCTCGAGCGAAACGCTGTTTTTTTCCAAGATTTAGAGTGCACATGTTGAGTTTTTGCGTGCCCGCTCGAGGATGGTGCGCCCCCCGCGCCAAAACATCGAGGATGTCTCGAGCGAAACGCTCGTTTGGCAAAACTTGAGGGACCTGGGCGCCCCAGCATGCACCAGGAGGCCCTGGGAGCGCGGACGCAGCGTAATCTACGAGGGCTCGTGGCGTTGGGAGCGCGGACCACGCGTAATTTGCGAGGGATCGTGGCCCTCGGAGCGCGGGCGCAGCGTAATTTACTAGGGGTCGGGGCCTTGGGAGCTCGGACGCAATGTAATTTACGAGGGATCGTAGCCCTTGGAGCGCGGGCGCAGCCTAGAATACGAGGGATCGGGGCCCTGGGGGCTCGGGCGCAGCGTATTTTACGAGGGATCGTGGCCCTGGGAGCGCGGACGCAGCGTAATTTACAAGGAGTCGGGGCCCGGGGAGCGTGACCCCAATGTAACTTATGAGGGATCGTGTCCCTGGGAGCGCGGGCGCAGCGTAATTTACGAGGGGTCGTGGCCCTGGGAGCGCGTCCCGTGGCACGTCCATTGGCACGTTCCGTAGCGCGTCCCCTTGGCACGTCCCGCAGTGCGTTCCCATGGCACGTTCCCTGGGACGTCGCCTGGCGCGTCCCTTGGGACGGTCCGCGGCGCGTCCTCCTGGCATGTTCCCCTGTCAGTTAGCTCTGGGGCAGCTACTACGTGCTCAGGCAGCTCGAGCTTACGACCCAGATCAGATCGGTCAGGACTCGGATGCAAAGGAGGACTCGATCTACAACGCTATAGAGTACAATCGCGGCATGGCACATCGCAGTTCAGCACGGCGCAGCACAGCACAGCCGTCGGCACGGTACATCAAGATCGATACTTTCAGCACTGCAACTTGTCACGTTCCCTGGCACGTTCCGTGGCGCGTCCCGTGGCGAGTCTCCATGGCATGTCGCGCGGCGCGTCCTCTGGTACGTCCCGTGGCACGTCCATTGGCACGTTCCGTAGCGTGTCCCCTTGGCACGTCCCGCGGTGCGTCCCCATGGCACGTCCCCTGGCACGTCGTCTGGCGCGTCCCTTGGGACGTTCCGCGGCGCGTTCTCCTAGCATGTCTCCACGCCAATCAGCTCTAGGTCAGCTACTACGTGCTCAGCCTCCTCCCTCTTCTCCCTCCTCCTGTTCCTTCTTCTCCTCTCTCCCTCCTCCCTCTTCTCGTCTCCCACCTCCTCCTCCTCCTTGCCCACCACCTGATCGTCCTCTTCGTCGTCCACCTCCTGCCTTCTTCCTCACCCTTTCGCTTCTCCTCCTCCCCTGCTCTTCT